GATTACTAGCAGAAGACACTAACCAGTTTTAAATTCCAGTTGCGCAGATGGGGCACGTTGTATCACTGCGTTACAATGTGCTATTCTATGACATTAGCGAAGTAATTTACACTATTTACTTTAATTAATTTTAATGAGAAAAAACGAGAAACAGGTGAATAAAGACTGACAGTCAATGTTTAATGTTTAGAAGGTCGCCAGTAGCAAACAATGGAGCACGCTCTGCTGGACAAACTAAGTAATTACACCATTTCAAGCATTTTATCTGCATTATATGTTCTGTAAAAAAAAATTTCATATCGGCGGCATATCGGCGACAGGCTCATATCGGCCGATAATACCGGCAAAACAATATATCGGTCGGGCTCTAGTTACCACAGATGATATATATATATATATATGACCTGTAAATGAGAAATGATGGATTTTGATTTACACTAGCGTTCAAAAATGTGGGGTCAGTAAGATATTTAACTTTTTTAATACTTTGAATTAATTTTAATTAGGGCTGTCACTAACAATTATTTTGGTAATTGAGTATTTGGTCAATTATTTTGAAAATTAATTGAGTACTCAGATTTTTTTAAATAAATGACTTACTTAAATACATATATAATAGCAATGAGGCAATAATAATCGGCTCAAATAAAATATCAAAAGCAAGTAATTGTATGGTTTTAGTGAACAAAACATTTAAAATAGTCTACATATTGTAATAAAACAATATAATCATAACTTGTGTACATTATGTATTATATCAAATGCCTGCAGAGGCGCCAACGGCTTGACGATTACACTTTACAGCGCAATCTAATAAAAAAGTTTAATATTGACTAAACATTTAATTCAAATGTCCACTTAATCTTTAATATTTGGCCATATTGCTATTGTGATTTTTAAATGTTTGTAATATTCTGTGCAGCCTTAGAAAATTGTCTAATAATGATTTTCGTGGATTCTCGTCCGTGGAACGCGCCACTTACGGTATTTTGCCAGTTAATCGACACAGGCAAAATGCAATCGAGGATTTTTTTAATAGGCTAATCGACTACTTAAATTTAATGGTGGAGACGTGACAGCCCTAATTTTAATTAATACTTTTATTCAGTAAAAAAGTATTACATTTATAAAAAAAATTTATAATAGCTAATATAATAATATACAATTAAACAATACAACAACAACACTTAATTAAAAGTCTCACAAAATTAGTCTTTTAGTCTTTCAGTTTGATATTTGATAAAAATTCTAATAATTTCCCAGATGAAACTTTTCTAAAAATATTATTAATGAAATTGCTGAATACACCCGTTGTCTAATAACTTTTTTAATTATTTAGGTTAAGAATCTAAATTAATTAACCTAAATTTAAATTAATTTAATCTAGTACTGAGACTCATGGCTCTTCCATGTACAGAAAAAATGCAAGGGTAAATGTCATAAGACAGAGTTAGATTTCAAGAAACAAGAAAAAAAAATATTAGAAGCAAATTGATTAATGTTGTACTGAAAAGCAGTAGAGCTCCGCTCTTTTTGTAACAGGGTAGGTAGTTTCAGGTTACCTACATTTCCTTGTAGTTGCACTGTTATGAGTTACGAGCTACGATACCCATGGAATTACTGACATGGAATGCAGGCATTTAACACATTTACCTCACACAAAGAATCTTTGTTCAGAGACCACTGAGTTGACATGGTTACACAAGCATGGAAGAAAACAAATGCCTTAGCTGTCAGAAGGGAGGGAATGGGACTGGTAACATGTGAAGCAAGGCACCTGATGACACATTATTAGATCATGTTTCCTGCCTGTTACAGGGACATCTTATTCAGCTGGCAACATACAATACCTCAACTGATGACTCGATCGGAATGAAAAGCTTTCATGTAAACCTCAATCGATTCGAATGAGCTTGTTATGAATGATCAAAAATTTTGATCGGATTGAAAGGAGTGGTGTAGACCAGGGTTTCCCAACCACTGTGCCGCGGCACACTAGTGTGCCATGACAGGTTGTCAGGTCTGCCATGGAAATTTATCATTATCATTATTATTATATTTAGTTATTATTATTATTTTGAATCAATGCTATTGGTCATCTTTATGTCCGTTTGTGGGTTTTACAAATATTTAACCAATGAAAAGCATTCAAAAGAGCTTGTGAGTAAAACTCGTAACGCCATTGGATCCTCAAACTGTCAGTGAAACCTCGTAACTCCAGTCTGGAGACAGATCTCTGCCCGTTCGTGATGCAAGGGTAAATAAAGAACTGACGTTTGAATAAGTACAGTGTTTTCTTTACTCAAGAAACACTGTCAATTAAGGCTAATTTTTTATTTATTTTTAATTTGTGTGTGTGTTTGAAGAGCGGAGAAGAGCTATGTTTTTCATATATCCTGTGCATAGCGCTTTATCTTTTATATCATGACATTTTGGCCAAAAGTATTCAACAACAAAAAAACTGAGCGTCCATATAGCTACAATAAACTTTATAACCTGTAAGCAAATGTAATGCGATGCACTCACTGCCTCACATGCGGCTGTTATAATGACGGACAAAACACATATTGCCGTCATTTGCTGGTCAAAAACCTCTGATCATATATAAAATTGTCTGATCATATATAAAGCCATAATACCAACTCTGATTACGTCAGACAGCGACGATATGTAAATTTGTTGTTTTATCATCACCAACGACACAAGGGCACCTATGACCTTGTGTTTCTACCTGACTTAAGTTCAAGTTTCACATTAAATGGGAGTGCTACTTTTAATATAATATCCAGTTTCAATATGCCATTTGAAGCAATTGCATGTTTGTTCAATTTTGCTATATTTCAGTACTTTAGTGGTGTGCCATGGAATTTTTTACTGATCAAAACTGTGCCATGGCTAAAAAAAGGTTGGAAAACACTGGTGTAGACATAAAATAATTCAATCAACAGGAAAAAAAAACAACTACTAATGTAAACACTTGAATATGACTATGAATATGACTGCATATCTTCTCAATAGGATTCAAAAATACTTTCCAAACATTTACAATAAGAATACATTACAATATATTTATAATAAGACTTCTGTTTTTGTTTTAATTCATACAAAACTGCATATATTTATTTACGACTTACAAACTGGTCAACTGAATTTTAACTATATAATATTTGCTAAAAAAAAAAAAAGGCTAAAAAGCACTTCTGACTTATGCCAGCTTTCTTTTTCTATCTAAACTAATTATACTACAATTATACTGTGATATTAGGTGACATTATAGCTGTGGCTTTTTCCAGTTCTGATCACAGTGACTAGGGCTTTTTGGGGTTCATAAGCAGAACTTCAGAATCTGAAACTGAATTGGATTCATTTGAATTCACAAAAAGTTAATG